TGCAACATGGGAATGAATCTTCCCGCAATAGCGGGAGGATTCATTCCCATTTTTGCACCTTGTCCTCTCTCTCTCTCTCTCTCTCGCCCGTGCCAAAAGAAACAAAACCATTATTGTTATTTTCTTTGTTTTTCTTTTCTATATCTTCTTTTTTTCTATAAAAGAATAAAATCCTTTCTTCGGATCGTTCACTTTTTCCTTTTCCTGTTTTTTTTATTTTTCTCTGGTTCTTCCCGTTTTCTTCTCCGGCTAGGCATGGGAACCTCAGAACCGGTAGTTCGAGCCTCGGCACGGCTCCACAGACCAGTCGGCCGAGGCTCGGACTCGATAGCTGGGCCAGGTACTGGTGGTTTAACGTCCGTATGGATGTTGATGTGGAGTATTTGCCAAGACTGAAAGACTCGATTTCATTTACTACATTCCAAGGTCAACTCATTAAGTTGAAAGTGGCCAATGCGCTCACACCTTGGTGTAGCACGTGCAGGCGCTACTTTCATCTGCCGGATGATTGTACGCGTCTACGACGGCGTAGAACATCAAGTCCTACGCAACCTCAAAGTCCATCTCCAAGTGCAGCACCAAGCGAAGCATCCAGTGGAGCTCGTAACGAATCGAGCAATCATCATTATCCTAGCTCGCCCTGCTCCCAAGCAAGCTCGGGTCGAGTACAACCATCGCCTTCGAAATCTTCAACGGCATCTTCAACGGCAACTAGGACATAGAAAATGTCGTCACGTACAAAGGCCCCTTCTGGCTCAGAAGATCGTCAAAGGAAGCAACCCACATATAATGAAACCTTGGGCCCTGAGGGGGGAATTGTGACCTCGTCTCAGGGGCCCACGCAGCAAATGCAATACAGGAATAATCCTGTGTTTTCGCCGGCATCCAGAAGTCAACAGGAAATCATGATGGCAGGGGGTATGAGCATCAAGAGGAAATGTCAGGATCTCGACGCCCAATGGGGACGACTACGGGTGGCCTAGCGTCATCATCAAATCAAGGAGGGGACAAGGGCAAAGCGTCGACGAGGTCAGGATCGAGAATGGAATCCACTCCGACGAACCAACGGCGCAAACTAAGCGAAGATATGGAGGAGCTTTGAATCCAAGAGGAAATTGAGGAGGAACATTCTAGGACTCTGTACTCAGCAGCTACGACACAACAAGACGCCGAAGATGGCGACAAGGGATCAACAACTGCAGGTAAAAGAAGCAGGCGCCAAGCTACGAGTTCAAAAGGAAGCGAACGAGAGTAGGGAAAGCCTTTGCTGACGCTTCTTTTCGTAGCAACGCAGGAGGGAGTTTTCACCCTCGCTTGGGCAACTTCGCCAATGGATACTGTTTTACCATCTCAACCGATTGTTAACCCATTGCTGCCGCTGGAAAGTATCAACATCACTCGAAGACGTGGCAGCGAAATAGCGGTAAGAATGGTCCCTGATGTTCCTACCCCGAGGTTCTTCATTAAAAAATCTGGTCCGAAGGCAAAAGTCTTTACCCCTCTAATAGACACTAGAATCTCTCAGGAATCTCTGGCGCACCTAGTGGGACAAGGTCTGTGTCTTTTTCCTTTGGATTGGTTGGCAAAGGAGGATCATCCTGAGCTTCCTAAATTTAATCTCCTTGGGGATGTCGATGCGTCTATCCTTGGGAAATTGTGCTCCAAGGTCCCAAGGATGAGGTCTCTCTTATCCTCTGCCTTTTACAGTTTTTTAACTCAACACTGGGACACGGGCATGCCAGCGACCACAAATGGTCCTTCACCATCTTGCTCAATGACCCCTACTCTCCAGATCCAATCAGGGCAGGGTGCAAGTAGCAACAATGCATAAAATCAAGATAGCTACGTGGAATGTGTGTGGATTGGGGGATACAGGGAAGCGCAAGAAAAGGAATAGGTTGAAGTCATGGATTCACTCTAATAAAGTCCAGTTAATGAGTCTTCAAGAGACAAAGTTGGATCAGGATAAGATTTTAAGTCTCGGTGCGTGGTGGGATGGTCCCCAAATTTGTGCCCCAGCCACAGAATCTAGAGATGGAGTTGCAATCCTGGTTCATCGTAATCTGGATGTGACAATAGAGGATTATGACGTCGATCAATTAGGAAGGTGGACTTGGACTAAGTTCACGTCAGAAGGGGAAGAATGGACAATAGTAACAGTGTATGGACCTGCGGAAAGGCCGGGGAGAGTGAAGTTCTTTGAAAGTTGATGGATTTTTTATCCGGTGTTGAGAATATTATTGTTGCAGGCGATTGGAATGTTGCGTTGGACGATGCGAACCTATTGTTCAACGCTGGAAGGGTTGGGAAAGATATAGATGTTGTCCTGGAGATCATATCTTTACAACATCTCTCAGACCCATATAGAATGTCTAACCCTACTAATCTGGGATACACGTGGTATTAATCTCAGATCGAGT